CTTCTGATTGTATATATTTGTGTTCAAAACATTCAGTAAACATAGGCCTCTGTTGTCCTGCTGGCTCCTCCTCAGACTGGCTTCAAACTATCTTCGCTCTGATACGAGCCTCCATGCTCTTTTTTTTGGTACTTGGGATCGAACTCGGGTCCTTGCACTTGCAAGGCAGATGGCAGAACCACTGAGCTAAGTCACTGGCCCTCCAAGCTTTTTGTGAAAGGTCACACCTCACTCTTCCTGTGCAAGTATCTTGCTCTGAGCATGGTACCACTTTACCTAAGCCCTAGAATACCCATGTGCTGGGCCCAGGGGCCCCATCTCCATCTTCACCCTGAAATCAAGGCATGACATCATTTCCTGAAAATTCATGTCCTCACTGTCCAGCCTGTAAATCTTCAAGTGCTTGCCATCTCCTAGCATCCTCCTAGACTGTTTCCTGAGTACCTCTCACTCAGTTTCAAAAGACCTTGCTCATTGCCTTGGCCATTGCTGCCGCTGCTCAGTACATCATTTCCGTGAGTGACAAATCCTGTCCAAACACAGCCATCTGTATATCAATCTACCTTCCTTATGTTCGGCCCATTGTAGGAGCCCAGATTTTATAGTTCCACTACATTTCCAAGTATGCTAAAATCACTTATTGCAAAAATAAGCAGATTTAGTGAAGCACAATGCAGATAATATGAGGCATGTAAGCTCTAACCCTAAGAACATATGGAAGAGATTGTTTTTAAAGGGCAGATGACCAGTACAGGCTACCTTCCTGAAAATGAGTAAGGACCCATATCACCAATGGCAAGATCTAGAATTATCAATATTGTTCGCTTTCATTAAGGATGGAATATACCCCGATGGGCTTCTCAACAGAGCTACTGAGAAGAGTCTGCCTGCCATACCTTGAGTCTGTCTTGCATCCCCTTCCCCTCTGGAGCATATCTAGAGAGAAAATAACTTGTATTTGTAAAGCTGCTTGTATTATTTTCAGCATTCCATACACAGCCTCTTTCTCATGTCTCTTATATGCTATAGTTTACTGCATTTCATTTTATGCCCAAGGCTAGATTATTAAGGATTGAATTGGAATTTTCCATCGTAACTGCAATATAAACTTCACCCAGCATTTTGACATGCTGGTATGATAGTTTTAAAGTTTCTTTACTACAGTATTGGCTGAAATAGTATCACTTATGTGAATGTATACAGTGTAGAGATGAATCTCTGGTCTTTTCTTGCTCAGACTTCCTAACATCAGGATAATATGGTAAAGAGAAGTGTCTCTCGATGGACAACACTTTGACTCATCACTGTGTACTATATAAAAGCAATATTCACAAATAATGACTTTGGAGAGTCATTTCCAAATCCATTTGAAATATGGGTTAGCCAAAAGGTTTATAGAGTAAGTCAGACACATAATTTGTCCTTGTTCCTAATACCTGCTTTTCTGAATTCATTGTCAATTGTCTCACTTAGAGCTGGGAATACATGGTCAGCAGAAACAGGGCTGTTGTTAGTGTTGTGCTTTTTTTGTTTTTTAAGATAGTGATGTGTAATTTGATAGTATTGTTACACATGTCAAAGTCCTTTAACTCACTCATGGTTTGAATAAAGCCTGAAGTAGGTGTGACTGACATTCACAGTGAATATCCTGGCGACTTAAAGCAGAGGGGTTTCTGAAAGAGACTGTTATTAGGACCAGACAAAGTCTCTGGGGCTACAGAGTACCTTAATCCGAGAGGCCAGATTCTCAGTTGCCTGTGAGGATCTGAACATATATATTTTCAGACATCGTCTGAAAAGATTAAAAGATTAAAACTGTACTTCACTATGGCTTACTTCTCGGCACAAGATTTTGTACAAACAACTTGTTTTTATAAATTATGCAAGGGTCCCTGCAAGTGTTCCAAATCTGTATTCTGTCCTTAATATGTAAGATGAAAACATTTTAAACATAAACTGATTAAAATCCTAAAGTTTTACTACATTTGCATCAAGATTAGCATGTGTGGATCAAGGCTTCTCTGAATGTTGGCATTGGAACTTCACATGAATGCATGTGTTGTCATGTAATATCAATTATATTAAATTTTTGCTTTAAAATATTGAAGGCACTCCATAATGTTATGAAATATTAAAATCAAATATGTGAAGAGACTAAAAAGAATCTGCTTCATAAATTATGTCAGCTAATTTTGGGTTGGGGAATGTAGCTCTCTGTGGAATTATGGTGGATAAAGCATGTAGCCTTTGACATTTATGAAAGAGTGATGCTTGTTTTATCTAGGGAGTCCCTGTCACATCCTATCACCTCCCCGCTCCCCAAATGACCGTGTTTGCCTAAGTGTGTACAACTTGTGTGGTTATCCAAATGACCTGTTATCGTGCGTCCTTCATTGCTTATCTGCTTGGCTATCTGATGGGTTGGTCCAGCACCTTAGAATAAAAATCCCTGGTGAGCCCCTCATTGCCCTTCTGAGTGATTGCTTGTCCATAAAGTTGCTGCTTTGGGATGTGGTTGCCATCACTTGTGTCATTATTCTCTGGAAAACAGCCTGGCCCCAACATAAGGAATCTGCCTCTCATATGAGAGAGTTCAGTTGTTTCTCTAAATGAGACAGCCATGGGTTAGAGTGATCAAGGGAATACAAATATCCAGCCACATGAATGAATCTGTCCAGTTGCTCCACTGTGATCAACTGTTCTTTGTGAGAATCATTTTTTATTTTCTGCTTATGTCATTGTGTTAGGGGCCTTTCTTGTAGATGGATGCCTTTCATGTACAAGTATTCTTCTATTCTGTTTATTTATTAATATTTTCTAAAACAAAATTTTTCCCCACAGAGGAAGCAACAAAAGAGAAAAAATTTCCTGTCTTCTCGGGAGCAGAACAATTGTAGCAAAACAAAGAAGCCCCCAAAGAAGTCGTCATAGAGTATGCAGGCTTTTGTAAGCTTGTGGAGTGAATGTGGAACTTTCTAGCTTTAGCCTTGTAAGCCTGTTTCTTAACTGATCACGTTTCTCAATAGGATAATGGGCCTGATTTAGGTAAAAGTTTCAAAGTCTTAATCACGATAGTAAAATAAAAAGTCTGCAGCAACTGTAGTAAAGTTTAAAGGCATGCTTTGCTTTTCAAGGGCAGCCTGTCTTTGGAGGTCTTTCTAGTCACTACAGAAATTAAACTGAATCACCGTATCATTTTAAGGAAATGATAGATTCAATGAAGAAAAACTCTGTAGCTAATGTAATTTATGCAAAATCATGTAATTAGTGATAGCTGTGCTAGATTTTTTTTCCTCCGAATGTGCCTTTGATAAAACCCATCGTGAGGAACAGTGCCATCTAATGTAAGTAGTAAACATGGATAGTAAATTATTAATATCTGGTGAGGCATGCAGATGGCAGGACTTCCATATTTTTCCTTTGAGCTGCTTGTGCATGTTTGCTAATCATTTTTTCAAAAAAAAAAACCTGCAAAGATAAATACGAACTTTGAAAAGTAACATTCAACAGGATATTAATGTATTAAATAAATAGCTAAATGTGACTGCCTCTGCATAGAGAAATGATGGTTACTTTCTGCTCCAGCTGTAGCATAAGCGATTTTAATAAGGTTGTACCATTTTCATATATGCACTATGTCCTACTCATTGGGAATGACCTGAGCCTTGTGATTTGGGTGGCATTTTAAAATCAAGTCCGCAGCACTGTAACCTTGAAACTCCCCTGAATAGGATATGGAAAGGTAACCCCAGATAAGTCCTTGTCCACTGACCTCGACCCTCGGCTAGCCAGAGCTAGCTAGCGATCTGCTGAAATGATCACTTGGTTGCTAGCCAAGGAAGGGCTTGCCCAAAGTTCTTTCCCACTCTTGCCAGTTTCACCTCAGAATTAGGCAGAATTTCAGCACCTAAGCAGACAAGGTCAAAATTAACTGCTTCACTGCTGCTTCTGGCTCAGGGGCCCAAGAGGGCATCCAGCCCCTCAGTCCAGACCCGCATCAGCAGAGGAGAAAGGATCTGAGCCCTGGTTTGGAGAGGAGCAAAATGCACCCATTTTTCTCCCTTATTTACTCCAGGGGCGACTCTCCTCCCCCACTCTGGAATCTCTTTAGCACTGGCTCCATCTCCCTGTGGCATATTTTTGGGTAGTAGAATGCTGAGGTCACAGGGAGAGACTCTGAGCAGTGGAGACGCCAGCCAGAACCCTTAGCATGAACCAGCAAGACGCAGACTCTTGCTCTTGACTTTGGGTTCCAGTCGGTGCCCGGCCCCTAGCTGGCCCAAGTCTCCCTCCTCTGTCCTGCTCTCACTGCCAGCGTGCCCACTTGCTTGGTTTGTAGCGTTGGTTGGTTTCTCACGCCTGTGCGGATCAAACTACTGGATGCCAGGCACCTGGAAGCCGGCGGGCACCAACCTCAGCCCGCAGCCCCGTTAAGGTGCCAACTCGATCTAGCTAGGAGAGGGACATTTCACGTGGGTATCTGCCTTTGCTCCCGCTCAAGCCTCGCCAGAGTAGGGGGCGCCAAGGGTCCTCTGCTCAGACTTATCCCCCCGCCCCCCAAGTTAATCAGCCTTACTTGCCAGTTCGCTTTAGTTTGGAAAATACTTAAAAGCCTGGAAATGTTGCGGGGGAAGCGGCCGCCCCCAGGTCCCACCAGTTCTGCTTGGCTAGGGCTATCGGGCGTTCACGAGGCTGTGGCGTTTGTCTAGAATCCACGTCGCACACACGCAGCCCCGCTTCTCGCTGGCGGTGGCCAAAGTTGCCAGGCGGCCCTCGTCTACCGGGTCGCTCCAGATGCAGTTGCATAACCTCGCCCCCTGCCCGCCGCCCACCTCAGGGTCAGCTTCTGGCTGCACCTGCGGGTCCTGGCCCAGGCGAAACCTGTTTGGGGCGAGTGCGTGCACCTGAGCTGGGGTCTGTCTGTCCCGGCGGTGCTTTGCCCGCGGCCAAGTGCAGCGGACTCCGGGGCGCGGGAGGAGGGAACTCAGGGCTCGGCTTACCTTCCGCTGCTTACAGATAAGTCGAGGTCGGTGCAGCGCCTGGCTCGGGCATGTCTCGCCGCGGACCCCGGCAAGCCTGGCGCGGCACGGAGCACTCGGGGCAGGGC